GGTCTTTTGGTTTACTTAGGGTATTTTGGAGTGATTTTGTTGGTTTGTGTGCTACAGAGATACCATGTGGTTGTAATAGTTTGTTGGTGGTTTCTGATGACTCCACAGTTCAACCCTGAGCTACAGATATTCACCTCTATTGGAAACAAAAACTTGTTTGAAGCCTGGAAAATAAGAAAATATTAGAAACACAAACTGGCTCCATCTTCTCTCCCTGGGGTATGAGAAGGAGGTAAACACAGTCAAAGTTTCAAGATTATATTATTAGAGTCTGCATCAGTAGAGTTCTAGTCATTCTTGATGAGTCTGTTATTTGACCTGGCCTACTACAAAGTGCTGACATCAGTACATGGATAGTCATCCAATAGAAGACTCAAATAATTATTTATTCAGTTTGTAAAAGAATAGAGATTTTTTTCCAACTTCTAGAGAATAATGACTGATAGTCTAAGACACCCATTACATTGTTTCTTTCCCATCATACCTTCTTCCAACTGATTTAAAACTGTCATTTTAATCTCCTAATCTATTGTTCTTCTATGTTCAAAACCAGCTATCATCAACAGAAGTATCTAGAATAAAAAATAATGCAATGAATAATATATATAGGACGGTTCTATTATGAGATACCTGAATGTGATCCTGAAAGTGAAGATAATAAAGATGATTGCTGAGTTGGCCCATCATATACTTCAACCACATCGTGGAGTGACGTCTGGAAAAATACAAACTGGCCAAAAACCACTGAAAAGGTAAAAAAAAAAAAGGGGGGGGGGAATAAAAGGTTGAATGAAATATTGTATTTTCCTTCATTTTCTGGCCACATATAGACTAAAATTATACTGATATCTGAAACCATAATACAAAAGGTACATGTACAGTCATTTATTCAGTTCAGTAGGATAAAGAGAGATGAAAGGCAGTTGAATGTGGAACAAGCTGTTACAGATACAGGTGGAGAGAAAAGACAATTAGGAAGCAACCTTTATTACCAGCACAGCTAACATATGCTATTGCACAGAAGTAGATTTGGAATACTTATTGTTCCCATTATGATTAGCAAATGCCAGATGTGAGCAAGGAATAAGGAAAATGAATTTGCCTAGAAAGAAAAAATCTATCTTTATCATTGGAACACCAAAATATATTACAATATTGGAAGTTTAATTAACTTCAGTGTGATTAGTTTTTTTTTTTTTTTTTGAGACTAGTTAATATTCTAAATGAACATGATTAGAATACGCTAGGTCAAACAGGTAAGAAGAAAAGAAAAAGAAAAAATTATGTGGAATCAATGGAATATGGTTAATTAAGAATTACAGTAGGTTGGGATATGATGTTTCTATAATACAGAAATACAATGTCTAGGTCTCTGTAAAGGTGAAAAGTTTTAATTGCCTAGGCTATAAGGAGGCACTGGCAAATGGAACAAAACTTCATAATGGGAAAGCTTTCTGAAAGTAACTTCAGGAGAACCTGGAAGAAAAGCCAGTCAATGAAAGAAATGTGTATTCACTATTCCAAAATCAAGAGAAAACCATAGTCCTATTTTATTCTGTTTTGGTCAGACTCCATCTCATGTATTGGCTCCACTTCTGGGCACTGCAAACAAAATTGGAACAGATTCAGTGAAGATCAATGAGGATTATCAGAAGGCTAGAAATTAAGCTCTATGCAGAGATTGAAGGAACAAAAGGCAAAGGAGTGATATGGTAACACTTTTCAAGTACAAGAAAGGATGAAACTTAAAAAGAATCACAACTTGTTTTGCCTTTTAGAGGACAAGATAAAGAATAATGTATTTAAGTTGCAGGAAAGCAGATTCCAAATGAATTTTATAGAAAAAAATAATAGAGAAGTTTGGCATTGGAACTTACTACCTATAACATTGGTGAGTAGAAGCTAAATATTCATGTGTCAGGGATACTTTATACTAAATTTCTGCATTGAGTAAGTGGTTGGACTCAATTGCCTAAATGGTACCTTGCAACGTGATGCCTGGAAAGGCTATTTGGTGGGTTAAATAGACTTTGGGGCAAAGAGGTATGTTATGTTAGTGTTTCTTCCACTCCTTTCCAAACCAGGATGATTATCATACTACTGAGATAGCAATGTTTGGGCACGTGGCTCTGGATATCTATCTATCTATCTATCTATCTATCTATCTATCTATCTATCTATCTATCTATCTATCTATCTAATTTGTCACTACTCGTCTCATTGAAACAACTCTGGACAGTTTACAGCAAAGATAATACCTTTTTAATTTTTTTATTTTATAAAGAGTATAGTTTTGTGTGCCTGTATCTACACGCATGCATACAAATATATACCAAAACCAAAACTTTGTCAAATAGTCTACATTTCAATTGTATCTCTTTTAAATAAATCACTCTGACAGTTGTAACTGGATTTTTTTTAATGAATAAATGAATCAATTAATTAATTGATATTCAAGAGTATCATATGATACTCTTCAAACACAACTATTCCAATAGTTCCACCTACGAAAAGCCCTTCTAGATGATTCATAGGGCCATGTTTCTAACATTTATTTATTGTTTTACTCTTCTCTTAAAAACTTGCAACTTTCAGGACTTAGAAATTCATGATGTATCACATGACAAACTTTTTCTCAGTTTTTCTTTTTCAAGGTTATCTTGAAAAAAATTAATCTGGTGAATTTTCTACCTCCAAATGATACACAACCTACACACAGAATAACCATCTGGGAATTCTCTTAATTCATAGTTACATGCTCAGAATAACATTACACTGGAGAAAACAAAGAATGGATTTTCACAATATAAACTGTTGCTTGCTATAAGCTTTTATGAAACATTTATGAAAAGCAACTGTCCTGATACAAAGCTCTATCCTACGTCCTTGAAATATAAGGAGTTATTTAAATTTCAGAAGTCTTTCAAATTTCAGGAAGCTGTTAAAGTGTGAAGTATAAATTTAGAATGTAACTGAACACTCTGGATACAAATTTGAAGCTCACCATCACCTGGGATTGAAGAGTGGTGTACAAAGCTCAAAAATAAATATTTAAAGAAATAAATAATATTTAGAAATGTTCTGAATTGACCAGAATGATCATTAATGGGCCATGAGTAAAAAAAATCAGCAGATACCAGAAGTTTTCAGATTGCCTCACCAAACATATCCATCAAGCATTTAGATTTTGAAAATTAGGTCAATATTCTCACCCTCTAGGACCCGATCAGGAGGGTAAGGTTTCTATATTAACATGTTGAAGGAAGAACCTTTGACTGGCAGGCAATGCAGATCAAAAGGACGCATTGTCCCCACTGTCACAGAATGTATATGGGGACACCAAAAAAGTCAGAGTTAGTGATCAGTTTTGCCCTGATTTCTTCCCTCTTGCTGAACTTTAACAAGATTAATAAATGTCATGAACTTAGCTTTCCCCTTTTGCCTGTCATCAGAATTTAAATTTCCAGAGTAAGTTATTTAGGTCTACATTTAATTATAATTCCCTAACAGATCTGGTCAGCTGTAACAGATTCCCCCCTCCTCCAATTTCTTTATTAAATGTAAAAGAAAAATATAAATAAATCAAACACAGTTGTGAGAGTCAGTTATCACAAGACAATCTAATTTAAATTAGCAAAACAATGAAGGGAGGGGAAAATCATTACAATAAACCAGAATGTATGTGAGCTTTAAAAATGACGAGGAAGAATAAAGCCATACTCCAACAAATGAATAAAAATAAAAGGAAATAATTCATGAAAGAGCTATGGAGTTATCTGAAGAAAAAAAAATATATCATCTTGCTTATTTATTGTTTTTTTCAAAAGATGGATGGTTTCAATGAAGTTGGAAAGTACTTATAAAGTGTTTTAGGATCAAAATAAAACTTTGAAAACTTTAAAATCTGAGAGGGAATTTCATTCCTTGGTATTATTCTTGACAGATGTAATTTATTTTGTGTTTATACTGAAACAGGCCTCAATCTTCCCTTGGCAAATGTTTTTATCCTCATCATCTTGTCTAAATGATCGTCATTACCGTATCATATATCATAACTTATAATATAGTAACCAAAACAGAAATGACAAAACAACACTGTAAAAACAGACAGCAAACAATCTCTACATTACAGATTTTCTGGCATGGATATTTCTTACATTTATGGTAGATAGCAAAAATGACTGATTTTGACTCTTAGACAAATTGATCTTTACTCTTTCTGAACTAGAATAAATTAGGTTTAAACTGGATAATTGTAGCACCAATTATTTCTCTGTATCACATAGCTCTGGATGTAAGGCTACTTATTTTAATAATCTCTAGCAGTTCAGGTCAGTCTTCCCCAATAAACCTGAAACTATATAGAATATATCATGTCATTGCATTCATCCTTGTTGCCGGTTATACTTTGAATACTAAACATATTTCAAGGCCCCAATCTCCACAAACAAGGATTGGGCTGACCCTGATGGATTTGTTTGTTCATGAACACCTACAGCAACACCATTACTTTAGAATAGACCTATTTTCTTCTAAGAAGAAACATACAATGCAACAACCAATCAAGGATTTATTTATTTTTTGGAGCAGCCTGGAAAAAAATCGCACATCAAATATCCACAATGCCCATGAATCATTTATATATAGCAATGTATATATAGAAAAAAGGAAGAATGATTATTTTCTTGCACTTTTCACCAAAGCTAGTGTAGAATAATAATAATAATAATAATAATAATGATGATGATGATGATGATGATGATGATTGCTATAAGCCACATTTGTAACATCATAAGTTCACCTTACAGAGTTCTGTTAATTATGTTGGGCTGTTTGCACATCACATGTATATAGGTAGCCCTCACTTACTGACCATGCTGAAGTTGCGATGATGCTGAATGAGTGGTACTTACGACTGGTCCTCAAAGTTCTGGCTATCACAGCACCCCCATGGTTGTGTGATTGCGATTTGGGAACTGGCTTGCACTTGCACTTTAAAAGCAAAGTCAATGGGGAAGCTGGCAGGGAAAGTCATAAGTCACCCTGGGAAATCCCTCCGGCCTTCCTGTGCTCGTGCCCCACCCTGCCATCCATCCCCCAGCCTTTCTGTACTTGTGCCACACCTTGTCATCCACTCCCTGCCCTTCCTGCACTTGTTTTGCGCTGCAGCATTCATCCCCTGGCCCTCCTGCACTCTCACCATGCCAAGCCATCCACCAACCCCCAGCCTTCCTTCCTGTGCACCCTGCCGCACTATCCACTCCCAGCCTTCCTGTGCTCACACAAACCCTGTGCCAGCCCTCCCAGGGCCTCCTTGGTTTCCACCACTCCTCCATGGCACCCCACCACCACCCTGCCGCACCCTGCACTCCTTATCTGGGATTTCTGTGGCTTCCCACTTAACGACCCGTGTGTCATGGGGTTACGACAGCAACCCAGTCTGCCGGGATTGTTGTTGGTAAGCAATGCAGTCATGTGACATTGCACTTTATGACCACTTTACTTAGCAAGACCAACCCGCTCCCCATTGCCATAGTAACCCAAGGACTACCTATATATGCATATTTTTTAATGTATGAATAACTTTTGTCCACATAAATTCTAAAAAGTTTGTTGATTGGAAAAACAAAAAGCAAAAAAAAAAAAGTAGTTTTTCAAGACGTTTGTAAGCAATAAGCAATTGAATCTATGGAGTAAAATAGAAGGAACGACAGAAAGCATAATATTTTCAAAACCCTGTTTGT